TCAACTGGCTGAAATAAAGGAAGTGGATGCTCTATTGTATACGATGAAGAAATGCATATACTGGTAAATGGAGCAAAGCAATTAAAAGCTTTCTTTGCCTACCTCTTCCCATCTGTGTGAATAATTTTTAAGACAGGTTTATGATGGAAATGTCAGAGCACCTGCTGCACAGATTTCACAAATCTGCTTCATTGAAGCGGCTCACAAATAATTCATATACATAACATTAAATTAAATCTGTAAGACACTTCAACCAATTACCAGTATTTTAAGACTTATTTTATAATAAATAGGTAGTTTTTTTCCCCCCTTCCAGTAGGCCTTCCTGTGCTTTGTGATATCACCTCCTTGCTCTTATCTCAGAACAGGACACCCAATTGGCTGCCTATTTCGACGCAACTGCGATCAGCAATTTTCTCTCAAGAGGGAAAATATCCATCAAAAACGATCAGTTTGTCTTTTAGCTTTAAAAAAAAATAAAAAAAAAAAATTGGTATTTTATTAACATATCTAGGTTAGCTGATCATATAACCAAAATGATGTATCAAGTATTCTTGCGCACATATGTATTAAATGTAAATATACTGCTGGATGTCAAAAGCAAAAACCCAAAAAAACAAGACAAAACAAAAAAAACTCCCCACGATGACAGATGATTGATTTAGTGGATGAGAACTAGTAATTACCAAGAGTTATTCCACTATAGATAATGTATCACATGATCATTAACACATACCAACAGTATCAGCTAAACATATACTGAAACAAAACCTTAATATTTATAATCAAAGTAATTATTTTTTGGGATAGCACAGTTCAAATACATCACAATATCATGCCATACATATATTTGTATTTGCAGTGACAGCTATCATTTGGAATTCCAGCTATGGTGAACCATACTTCTCACAAAGCTCAGCCAGCCAAAGATATCAGTCGCTGAGCTAAAAAGCCTGAAACCGCATGTCTGTTCTCAGATTGCATGGAACAGACAAGCACAATTACTGCATATAGTAAATATCACATTGGATACATGCTGAGCATCACATGCTAGAACTGACATTTGGATATACACTATGCTCATCATGGCTTCCTAGAACTTAATCTCTTTAATGACTTTCATGCAAAAAGCATATTTTCCCATCATCTTCCTTGTACCATTTTATGCAAAAAAAAAAAAAGTCAAATGGCTTTAGAATGCGTCATTGCCTACCTAGACGATACACAGACTTGAAAAAAAATCTAATGGTTTTGCAACTGATTTAATGCTGAATTATTAAACACTAGGGCAATATGCTTTTGGTCCTTGTTTGAATTATTCATATTGGAGCTTTGAAATGGAATGGAAGACATTCCCCCCCCCCCAGCCCCCGTTTGAATATAAATCCCATTTTGCTTTACAAAAAGTAAAACTTCCAACTGTATTGATACATAGCTGTGATCTATTCAAAAAGAGAGATTATAAAACATTAGCCTTATGCAATCACACCTCCCCCATATCTCTGGAATAAAAATCAATGAATCCATTTAGGACAAAAAAAAAAAAAAGACAATCCACCCACACGTGGTAGAGCAATTTGAAATTCTAAATATACATATTCTTAGAAAATATATGCAATGTAAATGTCAACTGAAAGCTTTAACCAAAATGTAAAATATCATTAAAAATATGTTATCTGGCCAAACAAAACGAGCCATTGACGTTATACAATAAATACTGATAAAAGCCAGAACCAGCAAGATGGTTAGTGGTAGCAACATGCACTCAAATCTTGTTGCTGGTTTTCGGAATTCAAAGAATTTCATTTATTTTCTGAATATAAATACAGACGTCAATAAGCAACGCCATTTAAAAAAAAAAAAAAAAATTCTAAAACTAAAACCATGATTTTTCTTTTCTTTTTTTAAAATAACATTGACCTTAACGAAGTAGTATGTGTACATATAATGAGCATATTAACCCTTACATTCCCAAGAGCTTACATTTCTATCTTTAAAAAACATGGGTTTTGCTTTTTCTCAGCTACAAGTTCCACTTTTATGGAAAAAGTAGATTGAAGCAACCTTACGGATACACAGAAATGAAAGTAAAATGTGTGCATGTCACTGGGGGTAAAAAAAATAAAATAAAGACATTGCGTTTTAGTTTTATTCTGAAGGCTGCTATCCATGTTGTGCAAACCATCGCAGCATTTCAAAATTAACCATTTTCTTACTTCACGCTTTTTACCCCCAATCAAGGGACCAATAGATGATCTCACACAGGCTTATACTACCACTTTTATTATGACTCTTAAAACTTAAATGGGATTCTCACTGTACTTTGATCTATTGTTCTAAAGTGCAACTGCTGTTATGGTTTCCTACTGGAGTAAGGCAACAGCTGCAGCCAAAGTATCACATACAGTCTGCCTTGGGCATGCTGGCTATGTCAACAGATTATCTTGCATTGAGCTGTCTAGACTGTTATTAATATGCAACTGATTCAAAATACTGGCCTTGTGGGTTGTGTTTTGGGGGGCCAAGTAGCATAATATTTTTTAATTATCCTGCTCAATATATAAAAAAAAAAAAAAAATGGCAGCGGATTTAATACCCATCATGCACACAAGAGGAAATAATAGCATGAACGCATCTCAGCGGACACCCATTGAAAGAAAGCAAGTAATGTGCTTATTAAATGTCATATCTGTGTTTTGGAAGGAAGGAGATGCATGCATTAAAGTGACAGTATTAATTATCAAAGCCAGTAAACAGGTTCTATGAATGAAACAACCAGTCCCTACAACTTGTGTTAGACACAAAATCATCTTCTCTGTTACTGTACACTGATACACGTTTATTAAAAATAGTCTTCTTTATGGACTTACCAATGGTGACAAAACTGGAAATATTTCAAGACACATCAGAATACACAAAATTTTCCAGAGACAATTCTAACATGTTGACTTAACAGAACCAAAAGCAATTAGAGGTTTTGATTTATTCTGGTATTCATGTAATTGTACTAATGGAAATCCCCATTTTTCCCCCCAAATGCATTCTAACCCATTATTATAGTGCAGAGTGGGAAGAGATTCACATTTCATCCATCAAGTAAATTATATTTAACCCCTTCAGAGCCAAATGATATCTCAGGACTGTCACTCGAACAAGGCATGTGCCCAGGTCCAGCACTTAAAGGGTTATAAAATGCACCTTTCATGTCTCCTGCAAGCACTAAGTAGTGTGCTGTATGACAATACTTTAAAACACAACTCTTTTGTTTTATAGTGTAATTGACTTTGCAGCTGCAGTTATTCTGTTACACTGCCTCTCATCAACACATGGAGGAAAAAAGACAATTAAAACGCTGCAATCTTACAGCATAGCAGCACTCAAAACATATATTGCTTAAGGATTACAATATATCTTCCTTATTTGCATTATATACTCAGTCAGGAACCTTGAATGTGACATGCATTATACACTTCCATTTGAATGTAACATAATCATGAATGAAACTCTGTGTATTTTTTTAAATTATAATTATATGACTAAGGGTCATGAGATTTCTGATGATGGGGTGAAAACAAGCAGGTCATCAGCAGCCTTTCAGAAAAAGTCACTGGGTTTTGCTGATTAAGCATGTTGCTTTTACAGAGAGAAAAAAATGAATCTGTCTGCTGAAATGACACAGGCATGAAAGCATATACCTATCTTTCACACATAACATAAAACAGGAATTTGGAAACCAAGAATGACAGTTTTCTACCACGATTTCTTAATGGTCAACTCTTTCAGTTTACTGAATACAATATGGAATTGCAATCGTATCCACATGTTGTTCATTCTAAAAGCCTAATGCAGTTTCCAAATAGAAGGTGAGGGTTAAGAATTTAGAATGAGCTGCTGATTACTCGGATTCTGCAAGGTACCAGGGAAAGAAAAATCAAGGCAATGTGAAAGTGAACGTGTGTATGCAGTTAAAGATTTACAAGATTAATTTAAATCATTCACCTGCTGCCAATTTTCCTCCAAAGACGGCATTGCTGAGAAGTAGCCCGTGTCATGTACAATCTGCAGCTCCTGGAATATGCTATAACTACCCAAAACATCCATGTTTGCAATTGCAAGCTAAGAAAAAAAAAATATGTATATTCCTTGATTATAGCGTCCTCCTATAACAAAGATAGATCCAGACAAAAGTCCTCTCTTTGAAATGTTTTACACAGGGTGATTACACAGTCAATGCAAAGAGCAAGCAGGAGAACTGATCAATCAAACCCCAGCATTTGGAAGAAAAAGATATTACATGGGTGATAAATGTATATGGGCAAAAAAAAAAATAGATTAAAAAATTAAATAATGAAAAAGTCAACATCCAGAGAGCACTGTAAGGGATGCAAGAAATCCTTTTGCAAAGCTGGTGATCACTCCAGAGCTTGTACCAGGAAGAAAGATGCAAACTCACTGACATTAAATTGCCATCATCTATTTGTATACCAGTGCTGCCTGCTCCTGGATGCAATCTTAGCTCTTTTTTTTTTTTTTAGGAGGAAGGGGAAGAGAAGTGCTTGCATTTTTCACCCCCCCTCTGTTTTTTTTCTTCTCTCTCTCTCGTTTTTTCACTCCCCCCTCCCTTTTTTGCTTCTTAAGAGACTTTCTCTCCCCCTCCTCCTCCTCCTCCAGATCTGGCAGATGAGTTGAGCTCCTCCCTTAGTCCTTTCCCCCCCTCCTCCTCCACTTCGTCGTCCCCTGCCGGTACTGCGCATGCGCAAGGAATTCTTGGAAGAAGCTGTCACTCCGGAGAGCCTTGTGACCATGTTAGGAAAACAAGGGAAGATAAAGAGGCGGGGTTTAGGCTGGAGGGGTGCTGCAACGTCACTCGCGACCAATCGGAACAGGCAGAAACCGGCTAAGGGCGGGGCTTAGCGAGCTGAGCGTTTTGTGATTGGCTGAGCGAGCCCCTCTGTGCTGCCTTACAAGGCAGTGTAAGGGGAGCTATTTTTGGAGCCCTATATAAGCCGCAGCGTGTCATCGCAGAGCCGCTTGGCCTAAGAAATTGTGCAGAGCTTGGAGTGCGAGAGCATCTCTGCTGACCATTGGAGAACGCATGTGCTGGCTCGGGTTCTAAACTTTAAATGGCTGGAGACCTAGCAGGAAACATGTAGCATCCCCTCTGTAGACCTCTCACACACTGTACATGGTGCACTCCGGGGATGGCTGGGCTCATTGACACCAGTGAGTGGCTGCTACTAGCCTTTGGCTATTCTGCTCTTGCGGTCTAGCGAGGCTTGGCTAAGGATTATGGGAATGGTAGTTCCCAAAAGTTGGGGAGCCTATGATTCTAAATCATTGGTGCAGAATGTGAAGTTTCTATAGGGCATAGTTCACAAACCAGGTATGTTCTCCATGGAGCCGCTGATACACAGCCCAGGGGTACCAAACATCTAGTGTACAGTGATAATCTGTACACTTTGTAACGTCTAGGATTTAGATAAACCATGTAAGTGTATAGTTAAGGTTTTGCTGAACCCCATCTAAAGCAGAAGTGAAACACATTGTAAAACTAGTAGTTCTGTATCTGTCTAGGGTTACAGCAAGCACAATGAACACTTCAGTGATTTCAAGTGGTGATGGTGCCTGGAGTCTGCATGTGTACAGTTTTGATTTTAAACCTTGCACATAGCAGTTCACCTCTGTCAGCACCAGTTCTCTGTTAATTGCACAGAATTGCAGTCTTTGGCTGAAAACCGTCAGCTGACGCATTTAACCAGTTAATAGCATATCTTTCTGCAGAAACCAAGAGAATGTTAAAGAGACACTATAGGCACCCAGGGCATTTCATCTCATTGAACTGGTCTGGGTGCAGTGTCTCTGTCCGCAGAGGCGGCAATCTATTTAGACGGCCGCCTAAGGCCTCGCGCTGATGGGGGGCCTTGTAGCCACTTAAATCGCATTGGGGCAGTGTGACACGTCGGGCCCTCGGTCTCGACATAGGAGGGGGTCACGGTTTTTTGCCCATTATGCCGCCGGGAGCGAGGCCCCTCTACACAGTCTCCCGGGAGAGAGCCAGCCTCCTGTCTGCAGCTCTGCTAGGTGCAGAGCTGCAGACTGAGGGATCTCGCAATCTCTGCCAATCAGAACGCTCTGACTGAACACGTGGTCTGCAGCTCTACACCTGACAGAGCTGCAGACCAGATAGGGAGACCACCAGGAAATCAGTTTATTGTAAAGGTAAATCACCCCCTGCCCTATAAGTTTCAGCTCCTACCCTGTCACTCTGCCCAAGCCATCCTACAATCCTCTGCCACCCTTCCACCCCCTACCTCCCTCTGCCCCATACCCTGTCCCTCCCTCCCTCTGCTTCCTACTCTGTCACTGCCCTCTACCCCCCCTAGAACCGCCTGCCTTGTCACAGCCCGCTACCATCCTCTGCCCCAGCCACCCCCTACCCTGTCACTGCCCTCCTACCACCCTCTGCCCCCCTACCACTCCCTGGAGATCGCAAGACTTAACACGTGGTCTGCAGCTCTGCACCTGACGGAGCTGCTGACAAGATAGGGAGCCCACCAGCTGTGTGAGGACCTCCAGCTTCGCTCATTTCCCCATAGGAAAGCATTGAAATGCATTTTCAATGCTTTCCTATGGGGAGCGCTAATGCGCATACACGGCATGTGCTGCGCATGCGCATTAGGTCTCCCCGGCCAGTGGGCGGGATCAGTCTCTCCCACCGGCCGACGCAATCAGAGGGAGGAGCGCGCGCAGGAAGAAGCAGCGACGTGGGACATCGTCACTGCCTCTGGTAAGTAACTGAAGGGGTTTTCACCCCTTCAGCAACCGGGGAGTGGGAGGGAGAGGGGACCTGCAATGCCAGGAAAACGGATTGTTTTCCTGACACTGGAGTTTCCTTTTAAATGTATTTATCACGCCCTGTCACAGTCTCCGCTCCCCACCCCCTATGCTGTCACTGCCTCCCTACCACCTCCTGTCCGAGCCACTCTACCACCCTCTGCCCCAGCCACCCCCTACCCGGTCACTGCCTCTGTCCCCCTACTTTGTCACTGCCCCCTACCCTGTCACTACCACCCTCTGCTGCAGCCACCCTCTGCCCCCTACCAACCCAGCCACACTCTGTCCCTGCCCTGTCACAGCCCCCTACCAACCTCTGCCCCAGCCCTCCTATCATCCTCTGCCCCAGCCCCCCCATAACCCCTACCCTGTCACTGCCCTCTTACCACCCTCTGTCACAGCCCCCCTACCCTGTCACAGCCCCTCTATCACCCACTACCCCAGCACCCCTGCTCAAGCACCCCATTACCCCCTTCTCCAGCCTCCCTCTGCCCCTACCCTGTCACAGCCACCCTCTGCCCCCTACAATGTAACAGCCCTCCTACTATCCTCTCACTCTCCTACCACCCCCTGCTCCAGCCACCCTACCACCCCCTACCTTGTTTATTGCAAATTAAGGTAGTTTGCACTGCATCATTTTATATTTAAAGGGTTACTCTAACCACCATGATTCCTTTTTTTTTTTTTTTTTTATAAGTGGTCATTGTGGTTGGAATCTATATATGCACCGTTTCTTCTTACAATTCTGTATATACAGCATACTTGTATATACAGCATATGTGAACGTGACTGGAATGTTCTTCCATGCTGCCTACTATTAAAATTGTGCATAAAATTCCTAGATTTTACTATTAGCATGGCGTAAAGTCATGATTTTATTAATGACACGGAGGCTCCTATTATGCTTCTCTTTCTTTAATTTTCCCTCAGCAGCGAAGAGAGAAATGAGTATAAAAGAGAAAAATAGCATATCATTAACATATATACATATTCAACAGTGCTACATAAGGGAACCTCCCCCTTTCAGTATATAAGGTGTAGCACTCTCTTCCTGTAGCGATCCGAAGACCAGTCAAAACCGAACAAGAACTCTGAACTGGAAATCGTAACCTCGGGAAGTTGTACATCTCTTCCTAGGGGAAAGGTGAAGCCGACCTTGAAGCTCCTTTCAGTCCCTTTGACGTGTGGAATCAGGCTAAAAGAGAGGAGAAATATGGTAAAATCTCGATCGATAACTGGTTGTAACATATCCCAGCATATCTATTGTCCTCAGCGTCTGAGAGAAACATAAACGTCATAGTATCCTGACATAAAACTCGATAGATAACAGGTAGAACCATAATTCAAAACTATTGTCATCTACATCTGAAAAGAAATACAATGTCACAACGCCCTACAGATAACGTCAAACTAGGTTAGGCGTATAGTATGAAAAAGTGGGGCTAGGGAGACCCGCCCTGAAAGTATGAGATAAGTTCTGACTCGGTCTAGTCCTGTATGGCAGCGAAAATCCCACCACTTCCAACCCATGGAGGGAGGGAGGGAATAATACTAGCCTCCGTGTCATTAATAAAATCATGACTTTACGTCATGCTAATAGTAAAATCTAGGAATTTTATTAAAGACACGGAGGCTCCTATTATGCTATTTTAAAGCTGAGCTATAATCTTATCAGAAAAATGTTGTATAGGTCTAAAGTAAAAATTCCGGAAAGTGGATTCCGTAGACCAATCCGCAGCCTTCAAAATGTCTTCAAAGCGACATCCAGCCGCCGATGCTTTTGAGGCCATGGCGCCTCTGACGCAATGGGATGAGAAAACTGAGACAGCGATCCCGGCTGTAGCTAGCCGCCATTTGATCCAACGTGCTAGTGTCGGGGTAGATACAGGTAGATGAGGTTTTTTCAGGGAGATGAACAGGGGTCCGTCGTTGGACGGCCGTAGCTTAGAGGTGCGAGACTCGTACTCCTTCAGGCATGAAATTGGGCATAGGTTGGGTAAACTCGTGATTCTCGGATAGAAAACCTGTTGAGTAGCTGATTTAGTTTTCCGTGAGATATCGAACGACACTCCCTCCGGAGTGAACGTGCGGGCCCGCCAGTCCAAGGCTCTTACGTCCGATACCCGTTTACAGGATAATAGGCAGAACAGCATAAGTAGCTTTGCCGATAGTTGTTTAAAGGACAGCTTTATGTTTGAGGGCCAGTCATCTAGGAGTCTGAACACACATTTGACGTCCCAGAAGGATCCATATCTGGATGTAGGGGGACGTGAGAAGCGGACTCCCTTGAGCAGGCGACAGATTAGAGGGTTCTGTCCAAGTGGGAGCCCGTCCACCTGGTCATGTCCAGCTGATATGGCGGAACGGAATACGTTGACCGTGCGGAAGGCCTTGCCTAATTCGAACAGGTGCGTCAGGAAGTCCAACACTGACTTCACAGGGGCTGATACCGGATCCAACGATCGTTCCAAGCACCAATTGGCCCACTGTCTCCATGCCGCAGTATGTGCGTGCCGTGTTCCAGGTGCCCATGCGTTTGCCAGGAGCTGCATAGTTGTGCTCAAAACCTCTGTGATTTCCCCGGGTCCCCGGAAAGGAGCCATGCCATGAGGCAGAGAAGACCTTGTTCTACGAGGGTGTGGCTCTCCCCGTCCGGGTTGGTCAGCAGAGATGGATGGTCTGGGAGTAATCTTGGGTGGTCTATCGCCATCTCCAGTAGGTGTGGAAACCAAGGTTGGGATCTCCAGCATAGGGTTATCAGGACCAACGAGCTCTTTAAGCGTCGGAGGTGCGCTAGACAACGGGCTATTAGATTGAAAGGCGGGAAAGCGTAAGCCCTGCCCTTGGACCAATCTTGGAGGAATGCGTCGGTCGCTATGGCCTCCGGGCCCGCTCACCAGCTGCAGAACCTCAGTAGTTGCGTGTTTAGTCTGGATGCAAACAGGTCCATGATCAAAGGTCCCCATAGGAATGAGATCTTGCGGAACACGCTCGGTTGAAGTCTCCAATCTCCCGAGTCCCTCAAGTAGCGGGAGTTCCAATCCGCGGTGTAATTGTCCAGGACTGGGATGTGTTCCGCGGTAACGGACACACTGTTCTGTAAACAATAATTCCAGAAGTCTCAGGCCAAAACTGCTAGGATGCTGTACTTGGTCCCCCCTAGATGGTTTATGTATCGCACCGCCGAGACATTGTCCAGCTTGAGTAGGATCAAGCATGAGATGCCTTTGGGTAAGAGACTGCGAATGGCGAACGAGGCCGCAGCAGTTCCAGAGAGTTTATGTGTAAGAAGGACTCTTCCGTGGACCATCTGCCTCCTGTGGATATAGAGCCGCAGCGCGCGCCCCAGCCATGTAAGCTGGCGTCCGACTCTATCACTAGGTCCGGGGTGGACCCGAAGATCGCCCGGCCGTTCCATGCCTCCATGTGGGTTAGCCACCAGTTCAGTTCCTCCCTGGATTCCATGTCCAGGGTAACGTGAGATTCGTACAAGTGGCCACTTCGTAGGCAGGTCGCTTTCAGGCGCTGTAACGCTCGGTAGTGGAGCGGGCCTGGGAAAATCGCTTGGATAGAGGCTGCCAACAGGCCAATGACCCGTGCCAGTTGGCGTAGGGATATGTCTGGTCGGTGCATAAGTCTCCTTATCTCCTTTTTGATGTTGGACATATTTTCCGCCGGGAGGCAAAGGATCTGTAGAACGGAGTCGACTCGGAATCCAAGGAATTCCATTTGTTGCGAGGGGATTAGAACCGATTTCTTCCAGTTTACAAGGAAGCCCAGGTTCTGGATAACGTGTAAGATCCACTTTAAGTGATCTAGCTGAAGGGACTGTGTCCCGGAGAGTATGAGGATGTCGTCCAGGTAAATGATGAGGCGGACTCCGTGTAATCTGAGGAAGGCCACCACTGGTTTGAGTATCTTCGTGAAACACCAGGGGGCTGAGGACAGACCGAAGGGAAGGCATGTGAACCGCCACTTCTTGGTTCCCCAGCAGAACTGGAGTAGGTCTCTGTGTATTGCCGCTATCGGGACTGTCAGATATGCATCCTGCAAGTCTAGTTTGACCATCCAATCTCCGGGAAGGAGCAGGTCTCTGAGGCAATGAATGCCTTCCATTTTGAAGTGCCGGTATTGGACGAAGGCGTAGGTTTATAACCGGGCGGACCCCGCCTCCCTTTTTTGGCACTAAAAACAGGTTGCTCACGAAACCTGGGGTGTCTAGAGGGATCTCCTCTATGGCCTTCTTGGTCTATAATTCTCTGATCTCCGCAGAGATGAGATCGAGGTGTGATGTTGGCATGTGAATTGCCCTTGGGGGAGAGTCCTGAATGGGGAGAGCTGTCAGTTCTAGGTGGTAACCCTCTACCGTCTGTAACACCCAACTGTCGGACGTGATCAAAGTCCAAGCCCGATAGAACAGGGCCAGTCTGCCCCCCACATATATATGGGAAGGGGAAAAATGGTACTCACCATAAGGGCGTTTTCCTGTGGGTGCTCCGACTGCCGCGGGTATGCCAAGGGGGGAAGAACGGGGTGAAGAACCGTTCCTGGTTCGGCCTCTGAGGGTTGAAGGAGCCTCTTCCCGGTTACAGCTGTTACAGCTGACTGAAGCTCTATTTGAGAGTGAAATGCGTATTGGCCATTTTTAAAGGACTTTTATTTGAGGACTTTTATCATCTTTGTTTTTATGTTTATTTTAAACTAATAAATTCACCATTTTCATTTAATACCTCATCCAAGTTCTTTTTGGAGCCTCCAAGGAATCCTCACAGGGGTAGTGCCATCCCAATTCAAATTGGCACAAAATCCACATACCTAGAGCCGGGATTCGTAGGCTCAGGACCAGGTGAGCACCCCATTTATTGAACACATATCTGTGTCATTTATCACCATAAGTCTACACATTGGTTTGCTTTCTTCTCTTTTTTCGTGTTCTCGAGAAATTCTTCAAGCCGAAGTAGGAGGGTGGTGCTACCATAACAGCACACAAGCCTTTATAGGGAGCCAGTGTTTTCTATATACAGGCTCCTTGAAATGTGAGTGTAATATTCAACACAATATTATTATAATCACTGTGAAGCCATTTTTTAGTACCATCTACACTATATTGAATTTTCTGTATTTTATTTTGACATGTACCCCATATTTTACCATTGAATGAGACTACGTTTTGGTAAGATTTATCTGTGTTTGAGCGCTCCACTTATAGGTGTAGGTCCTTGTCACTTACACCGCACCAATATCTACTAAATTTATTCAGTGGAATAGAGGATATTTCCACACTAGTGTATTGAGCTGCCTGTAAATCACTTTTTGACTCTTTTGAGCACTTTTGTTATACACACTCCTCTGTAAAAAGAGGCAACCTTTGATTGGTGTTCACTGAATACCCGTTTGATGCAGGATTGGGCTTTGTCCAAAGCCGTAAAGGTCTTGACGTAGGAGCCCAGGTCATTTTACGAAGGACTCTCCGAATAGTAGGCCTTTTGCAGAGACACCGGGTTCATTGGGGGCCATGCTCGCAAGCTTGGGCTCAATCTTTAGAAGGATGGCCTTCGAAGTCTAAGGGTGCCCCGCTCGATTGAGCTGTTTCAAGCAGTTCATACAGCTTGGTGACTGGGCCCAGCGTGTCGAGGAACTTGTCCTGACAGTTGCGGAGCGAGTAGTCTAGGCCCTTTTTGGGCTTCCAACCAGTCTTGGCCAGAAACTGCACGATTTGTGGGTCAACTTCAGGGGTTTTTGCCACTGCATCGGGTATGATAAGGCGGGGGCATTACGCCCTCAGTTTGTTATGACCCTCTTGTGAGAGGGATTTACGGACTCTGAGGGCCAGGTATTGAGCTATGTGCTCAGCGGGCTCCCATTCAGCGGAGCGAGGGTGTCTGAGATTGTCTGGGTCAAATGCCAGGGTATCCTTAACATCAAGGGTTGACTCTGTCTCAGGAGCCCCCGACTGTGCTTTGGCCTGAGCCGGTCTGGAAGGGAATTGTGTTCCCTGTAGATCCTCGTCTCCTGAGGTCTCGTCCCCGTAGGGATCTGAGAACTGGTCATCCGACCCTTCCTCCCCATCCTCGTCTGAATCAGACAATAAATCATGGGCCCGTGCCCGTTTCCACTCTCTGACCGCCGTAGCCCGGCCAGTAGCTCTATTGCGCGGTTGTTGCGCGCCATCATCGACAGCCTGAGGCGTGTCAATCAAACCAGGCTTTACCTGGGCATGGGGGGGTCAAGAGCGTGTTTGCGCTTGCCTAGCGCCTTACGTCCTGAGGTAGTCCCTTCAGGGGAAATATGAGACAATCCCGGCCCAGATTGGGCAGGGAGGGCCTGGGAGATGGACTGTGAGATACTGGAGGACATAGCTCCCATGGCAGAGGAGATGGCCTTGCTAATGGAGTTGGACATAGTGGCGTCCAGGAGGCTTTGGAACTCCTCAGAGCCTATGAGGCTAGGGTCAGCCTGGGAATCAGAGCCTGTGGTGCCCCTATGGGGAATAGGGTGGTCAGCTAAATCACCACTGGCAGACTGCATGATGGCAGAGAAAAAGGCTAGATAAAAGTATAGAGCAAGTGAGAAAAAAAAGGTGCTGGATTGCTTAATCCAAGCACAGAACAGAGTAGTAGAGAGAATACCCGGGTCCTGTGTGGATGACAGGAGAAGGGAGCATGCAGCCTCCACGGAACAAACAAAACCGCCGAGTAAGGTGATCTAAAATGGCCGCCAGCACGTCCGGCAACAAGAAACCAACAAAATGGCCGTCCTGCGTGTTCCGCGCATGCGCAGAGCGCGCGCGCGGCTGAAATGGAATTGGAAGTATCCGCCAGGGTGTGCAGCTGGCAGGGGGCCGAAAAACGGCCAAGGGGGGGTGGGGGGAACGCGGGGAAGACCCGGTCAATAAAGTACAGGGAGCTAGTCAGCCCAAGGTAGGGAAATAGAGAGGGTCCTGAACCCACCCCAGCAACAAGGAATAAAGTATAGGAGGAATCTATACAAAGTAGAATGAAACATAAACAAGCCCTGAAAACACAGGGGATAGTCAAAGTAAATACAAATGACAGATATTTTGCAAGTAAGGTAATAAAGGTACTTAGCTGGTCTGAGAGAGCAGCGGAGGAAGAGGAAGAGAGTGCTACACCTTATATACTGAAAGGGGGAGGTTCCCTTATGTAATGATATGCTATTTTTCTCTTTTATACTCATTTCTCTCTTCGCTGCTGAGGGAAAATTAAAGAAAGAGAAGCATAATAGGAGCCTCCGTGTCTTTAATAAAATTCGTCTGTCATCACTGCCAATGACAGACCTGGTCAGTCTGTCTCAATCGTAACCCTTTAACTTCAAACTAGTCAACAGGTAATTGCTCATTTTATTGTTTTGTGGTTACTTTGGCCTTGTATTTAAAATTCCTCACAATTCTCATGTTCGCAAATGACCATGGTAATGTTCTTCCTCAGAAGATGAGCATTTGGATTCCATACTTTCAATGATTCTATTCATTCTGGCTTTATAGATAAGACTTGCATAGACCAGGTGGTCCATGATATTTGGTCTCTGAGTCTTAAAGGGACACTGAGCACGAAATCTACTTCATCTTAGTGAAGTACTTATAATACATAGCAATGTAAAGTATTTATTCAGAGAAAAGGCAATGTTTTCAGAAGACAGTCACTAGAGGTACTTCCTCACTGAAGACTTTTAATCACTGAAACTATTAATGTTTGGTGCAATCATGCACAGTATGACCATTGCCATTACTCCTTTCATTAATCTCTTGTGTAGCAACTGCAGGGTGCAATTTAAGGAAAGGATTAAAGGGACACAATGTCTTCTAGGTACACTTCATGAAAATGAGAAATTTGGCAACACAATCCACTGCAACAGAAGGTATGTTTATAAAGAGACAACCCGACCATTTAGAAATAAGTTTCAGCACTCAAGAGCTCAACCATGTATCTTGTGAGCCAAAATTTATTTATTGAAAAGCACACTCCATGCAATCATAACCACTAGATCCCATTGTAATGACATTAGGAGTGCTCTGTTATTTTCCCAGGCTAAGTAGCTATATTGTTTGAGAACGGTTTGAAAATTTACCTGGTGTCTGATGGGCACTGGCCACGTCCTCTTGCAGAGCGCTTTCATTAGCTCCCTGCCATGCAGGGCTGACTCATTGAGAGCTTTCAATCGTAACCACTACAGTGAACTGTCATGTTTTTGTGCTTTGAGTGTTCCTTTAAGGGGATGTTTGTCTCCTAATAAACCTGCTTCTTCTTGCACTGGATCATGTTGCCTACTCCTGTCTACTCTATCACAACGGTTCCTAATTTAGTAGATAAAACCTGCAAAGTAAACATGTATGTATTTTTATTTATTTATTTCCTTTGGGGGTGTATGGGGGGAAAAAAACGGCTTGCAAAAGTTAGAGTGTTGCGGTCTGCATCCTTTAAAAAGCCCTCTTTCTCAGAGACAGATTAAAATGACCCATCAAAAGCTTCTTATGGAGAAACCTCTGTGCTGGAGCAGCGTGTATGCGCACGCACGCACGCACACAATCGCAGTACAGCTCATTGAGAAGAGTGAAGGCAAGTGCACTCTAGCTTAGCACATCTGTTGCTTCTGTTAGCTCTGAGGAGTGAAGATAAGCATGAGAAGAACTCCTTGGTAGCCTGAGTGACATCCAGGGAGATGTTGCTGCCACCATATATAAAACACAAACCACTTCAATGAGAGGAAGTGACCTGGATTCCTATAGTATTCCTTTTAAGCAAATGTGTTTGTATCATTAACTAGGTAAGCCTGGGGAGGAGACAACTTTGCTGCACCCCACTCTATAAGTAGTTAGCATGACAGGATACCTGGTACCTGCTTATGTTCTCCACGACAGAAGCCACATGTTGTTCAAGGGTAGAGCGGAGGAGAGCAAACCTAAAAAAATGTCATTAGCATATGGGTTATCACGATTTGCTTTGTGATCACGCCACAGGTGTTTGTGGAACATAGCAACCCCTCTGTCTTATACTGAATTACAGACACACAGAATTATTCACTAAAGTGAGAATTGTTGAAATTCAAAGTATGTTCAAAATGAATTTCAAATTTAAGGCCAAGTCAACTATGCTTCCAGGTTTGTTATTTTGGTCTAAAAATGTAAATTCACTTTGAATTCCCAACAACCCTCATTTTAGTGTATAACCCTGATACAGTGAGCAAGCAGATAATGGTCTAAAGGAGGCAACTATTTCAATAATCATACAGTTATACATTAAGCTAGCCACATATCTAAGAAAATATATACTTACCATTACCTTTCAGACAGAAACCATGACCAATAACCCTGTACCTGTGCCCTTTGATTGTAAACCACAAATATGGCTTCTTTTAACAGATATACACACATCTGGCTACCCACAAATAACACATGACATCCTACAATGGCTACCAAAGGTTTCATACTAGCAATTGTGGGGTGCCACATGATACATTTGTGTGGGATAATGTATGCATTAAACATATCTATTTGCATCCATTTGCAGCAGCAATCTTTGTGGAGACAGAAACAAATCTTCGGACAGATCTTTTATCAACAATAAAAAAACATATGCAGATAAATTATATAGGTAAACTTGCAGGTGAATTGTCAAATTCCACAAGTAAGAAAGAAATCAACCAAAAAACACATGCCTGGTAATGGTACCTATATATAACCATCCTATATCAGTGAAACTCTTTTAACAGTCCTCTATAAAAACATCCACTACATACAACAGAGAGCTGGATGATCTCTGTCTGAGCTACGCCTGGCAGTACAGGACTTAGCTCATTGGCTGAGAGTGATTAGTTGACACTCTCAGCCAATTTGCTCAGGATAGCTAATGGAAGCTCTTAAGTAGGAGATTCTTGCTGTCTGTTAGACACAGTAGATGTGGGGACGGTGCCTGACGGACCCCAGGTAAAAAGTCAAAGTATTCTAAAATGGTTTGATTACTTATAATGGAGAGGTGCCAGGGCAAGCTGTATGGGTATGGTGCTTGGGGTCTTCCCTTAAATGAGCACTATTGTGTTAGGAACACTATAGAAAATATCTGTTCACCCAACCTTGCGCCTCCCTGATTCCAGCGTCAATATGTTCGGCACTTTGTCGGGTTGCTCCGCCGTCATCAGCCGATAAGGGAAACCTAATAAGCACGCACAGCAATTCTGAAAACGCCACACGTCTTCATGCAAAGCGTGAGGACATCCAGCATCATTTTACAGAGTCACACTCCATAAACAGCAGGAAGTGCCTATAGTGTTCCTTAAACAATTTCAGGGTTATACAAAGCTGCAAATACAAAATTAGAAGGACATACGGTCTCTAGGAATCAGATTGTGATCATTAGGGGATTATAAATATGACTCATACGGGGTTGAACCTACTCTGATAATGTAATGTGTATATCTGCTGTGTATAATTTAAATATGGGGAATTGTTGGGATCAGAGAGGCTTACCAGTTTCAGAATTTTTATTAATTAAGCAATAATAATAATAGATTATGTCCTGCTTCTTTAAAGCAGGGAATGTCTGGTTCTCAGTGAGTGACATCGAAGTGTGAGTCAATGAGCCATGATAGCTGTCCTTGTGAACCATAATTAAGACCCCTAATTTAGCGCTGTCTGTTTTATCATTAAATCACAAACTGCATTTTCAATTCATTTATTTTACCTCCCTCTCAATTAGGCTAAATTTACAATGCCATTATTATATCTCTCCTGATTTCAGCTGGAAAATATGTTGTTTTCTTTCAAAACAGAAACCATTAAATTCATGCAAATCTATAGCCTCAGCCATAACAGTTTTGATTATGTGAATATAATACTGTATAGCTGAGACATTGCTATTGAAACTCAAATGCTATATTAAAATAAACTCCCTTGAAGGTATCATTTTTATTTAGCCTTTTATGTAGCTCATATTTTTCATCTTCCACCTTGCTGCACGCATAAAAATATAATGCACAACTGAGCAAATGTGTATTAATTGTATTGCAAGGCATAACCGTACAAACCCCTTGTGTGCATATCACAAAAGACTGCTGGTGACATTTCAAACACAAATCCTTGATCGTGGAACAAGAAAATATAAATATTTTCAAAGATTACAATTTATTTGCATCCAGCGAAAAGCTTCATATTAACGGAAGAATATTTTACAAAAGCTGTTAAGTGGGGGCATGTGTGTCAATTGTTTTTTGGTTTTTTTTTTTTTAGTTTATCTTTCTAGATTTCTTCTGAACATTTCATTAGATCTTTCCGATACTGACATGACAATCCCAGTATGAGCCAGAATCATTGCTTTACTTTGGTATGTTGCTCTTTGTCTCATTCTCTAGACTTGGACATTTCTCTAAACTAGGAGTGGCGAAACCATAGATCCTGGGAAGAGTACCACTTCCATCAGCCTACCTTCTAAACATCTATGCACCAGCATTTCTAATACCTATTTTTATGGTTTTAAATCCAAAATTTGAAATAAAAGGTAGACAGAGAGAATGTAGAAAAGCTAGCATGATGCAAAAATATTACAAATAAAAGCTGAGAAAAGGGAAAATTAAAAGGCACAGCAATAAAGAAAGGAAAGAGTGGAACGAGAGAAAAATACAAATAAACAAATATTTGGGTATTTAAGGGGTTATTGTTATGGCACAAAAGTTAAACATGAATAGAATGAGAAGCACATGGTGAGATAGGAGGTTCATAAAAGTACAATTACGTATAATGAGAATAAGAGTCAAGAAGAGAGGTTGGAACAGTAAGAGGTTGGAACTAAAAATTGTTTTGGGTTCATCATAGGAAAGTTATAATTTCTTAGTACCCCCATGTTTGGCAGTATACCTTCTTCAGCTACTTTCTTAACATGGTACAGTTGGTTGTAAACGATTGAACTCATGCTGTGGACATCCAATCTTATAGATAGCCGGTCCCGATTTTGTAATTAATTTCACATTATAGGCCAGTATTCCCCACATCAAGAATTCCAGAATATTGCAGTTCATATTGGCTTCTGTCCTATTTTTTATGTCCTGTAAATAAATATTAATAAATATTTTCAAAATGATCCTGGTAAAACACATGCCTCTGCAGTCCTACAAACCTTCCATATATAATTTTTCTGTCGAAACACAAGTCAAGTTTTGCCTTTCCATCCACTTTTGGATCCAGAGAGAGCATAAACCCACAAAAGCTGATAGTTCTCTGCCACTGGCCACCATGTGCAGCACTTCTGGCACACCAGGGCTTCAGAGAGTCAGGAGGCCTGCCAATGCCAGATATAGGTGCAGCTCCATGAGGCCCTTCCTGCCTGTGGTGTCATAGCCGGTGGTTCTCACCGCAAAATGTAAGGAAACATGGCCCAGGGAGGGAGAGCTACACTCCAAGAGAGGGTGAGTCAGTGTGTTTATCTGTGTGTGTAGATCTGTGCATCAATCTATGTGTGTGCGAGTGTGTTTCTGTGCAAGTTTGTCACCGTGTAAAGATCCCTATGTATGTGTGTATATCTGTGGAATATATATCTGTGGTAGTGCATGTGTGTGAGTGTTTCTGTGGTTAGCAATCTGTACGTGTGTGTGCGACAATGTATGTCTGTGAATACGTTCCTGCATGGAAACACCTTCATTACACACAAACACACCACTGCATTCAAACACCAACACTACATAAACACACGTCTGCATGCAAACACTACAAACATCCCTACATGTAAACACTGACACTAATCACAAACATACTCCTGCATTCAAACACCAATGCAGTCAAACATCAGCATTATACACAAATACATACATTCACATATATACTCCATACAAAAAAAAACACCTATATTCACACATACAACTCTGCAAGTATGGGCGAATAGTAGATCCACAGCTGGTGAAGCATCATAAGAGTTGTACCATACTTGAGGATCACCTTTTGGCTACAAATGCTCTACAGGGGAGGGTGGGGGAACTTTTGCTTGCATCAGGGCCCTCTTTACATTGTTTCCATAGGTCCACCAGAGGCGTAACTATAAATCACAGGGCCCCCGGTGCGAAAACTGCCCTGGGGTCCCCCTCCCCATACATATTTCTTACCCCCCCTACCTCCGTCCCACCATTTGTATAACATAACATAGATATACACGGACACACTTGCTATTACACAGACACACAGAATGACACACATTCAGATACACAGAATGATACAAATACTTCAGATACAAACACTGACACACATGCGGATACACAGACACACACATACAGAGAGATACACATATAGACAAATGCAGATACATAGAATGACGCATACAGATACATAGGGGCACACACTGACACATGCAAACAGATACACGTGCAGCAAAAAAAAGATACAGACACATGCAGTCAAACAGATACACATACAGACGCATTTGCAAATACACAGAAACACATAGACACGCATGCAGATACACAGACAGACTTAATGACAAACATTTAGTTACACAGAATGATACGCATACAGATATAAACAGTGATACACATACAGATACATAGAGCACACACTGACACATACAGACACAGAACACACACATGTGGATACACAGATGCACATATAGACAGATACACATATAGACATGCATGCAGATACAAAGACACACTTAATGACAAACATTTAGATACACAGAATGAGAAGCATATAGATATAAACTGTACATACAGATACATAGGGGCACACACTGACACACATGCATACAGATACACAGACAGAGATACACATATAGACACACATGCAGACAAATATACAGATACACACATACAGACATTCACACACACATAAAGATATTCACACAACACACACAAACTGTTAAAAATGTTAGTCACCCTCCTGTTTCCTACCTTTAGGTGCTGGAGGGTGATGTCCCTGGGGTCCAGTGGCTGCCTAATGGTGATGGGAGTCAGAGCCTTTACCTGCATTCTCCTCCCACAGAACTGAGAGCGGAGACCTGGGAGGAAATAGGGGAACTTCGCAGAGAGTTCCCCTATTTGAAAATTGGGTGGAATAACGGGAGGCAGAAGGCTGGCGCCCTTCACTCAACACACATAGGCTGTAGACGTAGTGACCTCCAGACAGGTCTCATTGTTCCTTGAGCTTCAGCGGCAGGTAGAACAATATCCCTGAGACAGACGGCGAGAACCTGCAAGAAATCCTGTCGAGCCTGTTCACACAGATCCTGGGTAAATTAGCACCAGTGGAATATAATAATGAACACGCCCACATGGCCCTCTGGCTTCCTGGAAGAGATGGCTTGCCGAGAGACGTATGCTGCCTACTGTCCTTTCAACTGAAGGCCAATATCATGAGGGTGGCAAGATCCCTGAACTCAATCCATTTCATGGACACACAAGTCAATCTATTCCAGGACCTCTCCACCCTGACACTGGAAGCACAGAGATCACTGAGGCCTCTGACACGCATGTTACAAGATAAACAGATCCCCTACCACTGGGGGTACCTGTTCAGTCTCCAGGCCCACATGGGTAACACCTGGCATGTGGTCCGCTGGCCCAAAGATGTACCCCATTTCCTGCGAGCCATGAGGTTGCCAGCGGTGGCTATCCAAAATCAGCCACAGCAACCAACACTACCAGGACCTAAAAGCATGCTTTGTGCTTTTATTATTCTTTATACTTTTACTAAAGTCAAATAAATATTTACTTTTAATTTCCAACTTGGACCCTGGAATCTTTGTTACATTAAACCAGCGGTTTCCAAAGTGTGGGTCGCGACCCACTGGTGGGTCGCAGGGCGATTCCCAGTGGGTCGCGCTGACCCACACATGCAGGGCCGCCGGGTACTCAGAAAGGCAGACTGATAGAAGTTACTCTTGGAGGCCATAAGCATCCCTGAGAAGATGTATTTTGAGGGACTTCTTAAAAGATTGACTAGGGAAGAGTCTGACAGGGGTTAGGCAGGCTGTTCCAAAGGAAAGGAGCTGCCCGTGAGAAGTCTTGCAGGCATGAATTTGCAGAAAGGTGACTGTCAGGAGACGGTCACTAGTAGAGCGGAGAGGGGGCATACCTATGGATCAGTAAAGAAATGTAAGAGGGGCTAGAGTTGGTTAGTGCTTTATAGGTAAGGGTTAGTATTTTAAATTTAAGAGACACTAAAGGAGCATGGGGAGAGATAGAAGGAGAACCATGAGAGGGCTGTGTCACAGATACCAAGAGATTGAAGAGTTAGGAGAAGGAGGCCATGATCAACAGTGTCAAAGGCAGCAGAGAGGTTAATAAGAATTAGTATGGAGTAGTGGACTTTGGATTTGGCTGTGATTAGGTCATATATAACTTTAATAAGAGTAGTCTCAGTAGAGTGGAGGGGGCGAAAACCAGATTGAAGAGGATCGAGGAGGGAGCTGGAAATTAGGAAGTGAGTCATACGGGGAAAAGACAAGTCTTCCTAGAAGCTTTGAGGGAAAAGGAAGCAGGGATATAGGGCGATAGTTGGAAGTGGAAGACAGGTCTAGGGATGGCTTTTTTAGGATTGGAACAACAGTAACATGCCTAAGGGGAGCAGGGACAACACCAAATGAAAAAGAGCAGTTTAGGATGTGTGTTAAGGATGGTACAAGACAAGGGGTGAGTGCTCTCATGAGGTGGGAAGGTACTGGATCAAGCGGACTGGTGGTGGAGAAGTGCAGCCACCTCCTGTTCAGTAGCTGGAGGGAAGTCTTGGAGTGTAGGGATGGTATGGTCCAAGTTGAGATAGAGATGGGAGAAGGGGGGGGAATTCATTCCTTAACTGTTTAATTTTCTCCGTAAAGTAACATGCAAACCTATCAGCTGAAAGATTAGATTGTAGAGCGGCCACAGCAGGGCGAAGAAGAGAGTTAAAAGTATTAAAGAGATGCCTATGATTGCGGGAGCATGAACTAATGAGAAAAGAAAAGTAGGACTGTTTGACAAGGGTGAGGACTGCATTGTATCAGCGCAAGACAAATTTATAGTGTAGAAAGTCTGACAAGGTGCGGGACTTCCACCAGCAGCGTTCAGCCACGGTTGGATGCGCGCCTTGGAGCGGGGCTGCAGCACCTAGGGCAGAGGTGAGGGTAGCATTATATGAGGAGATAGCCAGAGAGGGACAGGAGAAGGTAGGGATGGATGAGAGTTTGGAATGGAGATCAGCGGAGAGTTCCTGGGGGGTCAAGAGAATTCATATTCCTCCTGAGTTGCAGGGGGTTAGGTTGAGGATATTGGGTGTGAGGGCACTCGAGAACAAATGATAGGAGGTGGTGGTCTAATAGAGGAAATGGAGTATTACAGAGATTGGAGACTGAGCATGCATTTGAAAAAATAAGATCTAGGACATTGCCTGCTACATGTGTGGAAGAATTAGCCCATTGCGATAGCCCAAAGCAGTAGGTGATTAAAATAAGTTTTGAGGCTACTGAGGACAAGGGTAGGTTAATGGGAATGTTGAAATCCCCTAGAATTAGGGATGGGATATTGATTGAGAGGAAGTATGAAGCCAGGCAGCAAAATGGTCAAGGAAGAGACGAGGAGAACCTCGGGGCCGATAAATAACTGCAATGTTATATGGGCTTGAATAAGCGAATTGAGTGAACTTCAAAGGAGGAGAAAGAGAGGGAAGTGGGGTGGGTAGAAGTTTGAAGGAGCAGTTGGGAGAAAGGAGAAACCCTACACTGCCACCATTACTGTCAGACTATCTTGGGTTGTGCGTAAACTGTAGACCACCATAGGATAATGAGGCAAGGGTAGCTGTGTCAGAAGGAGAGAACCAAGTTTCAATTAAAGCAGGTAAGTTTAGGGAGCATGAGATGAATAAGTCGCGGATAGAAGTAGATTTAGTTATGTTGCACACTGAGTGTGCATTACAGAGGGCAGAATGTAAGGAGGCATTAAAGGGAGAGTTACATGGGATGGATATAAGATTGTAAAGGTTTCTGGGTTGGACACGAGGTAGGTAGGTAGGGGCGGGACCAGGGTTTTGAGAGACATCACCAGGTGCCAGGAGCAGAAGCATAGAAAGAAAGAGAATGTGGGAGTAAGATTTAAATGTTTTGGTTGAATGTTTGTACTTTGAGGTTTCAGAAGGAGATGGAAGCGCCCGCGAGGGACACGTTCAGGTAAGTGATCTCACCCTTACCTGTCCCCAGGGCCACAGGACAATTAAGCGGCGATATCACCGTCGGGGGACTTTGCAATTCGTCAAAGTCCTCCGATGGTGACAGTGCCACTTTAAATATATTCCTTCTAATTTACTGAGATTACTTAATTAACTGTAGAGTTAATTTATCTCTTTTTTTTTCATATCATTTAATAGTTCATTTGTGACTTGTATTGTCTGTGGTTTTAAGCATAAATTATTTTTGTTGCTTTGTGTTTTTCTTAATATCCTATTAACTCTTTCACTACTGAAAGCATTTGTATCAGTATAGTACCAGCATAAACCTGACAGAAAGGATAACCGGAGAGAGCAAACAGGCTAATGGACTGTAATGTATTCAGGTTTTTTGCTTCACTAGACAAAGTAAAGACTATTCACTTCCATTTATCCTAACATCCCCTTATTTATAGAACCCTTTTAGATGTATGTATAAAATGTGTATTAATGTAAATGTATGTGCATGTATGTATATACATATATATGTGTGAGTATGCAATATGTAATAATGTTTCTATAATCATATATGTATAATGTATGTAATGGAGGAGTTACCTTTATAATTCTGCATGAATGGATGAGGTATTAGTATAAGTGACACTGTAGCTTTTTAGTTTTTCATAAAGATAGAATCTTAGACTGATTTTATCCCCAACATAGACTGTCTTAGAAATTCAGTGATCTTACAACACAATCAGTAGACACCTGCATTTGTTGCACTCTTCTTTAAACAAATGACAAATTGATTCATACAGCATAGAACCCCTTTCTTTTCATTTTTTAATCCATGGAAAAGGGTTCTATGCCGGTCAAATCAATTCATTTAAAGGAACACTATAGGGTCAGAAGCACAAACGTATTCATGACCCCATAGTATTAAAACTACAATCAAGCTCCCTTGCCCCCCTTAATATAGTAAAACCTTACTTTTAGTCAAGTCTGCTGCTGCTGGCTCTGTTCCTGATCTGCCTGCTTGGCTGACATCATCATAAATGATTATCTGAGCAAATCACAATGCTTTCCCATAGGATTGGCTGAGAGTGTCAATGAGGCAGATCAGGGGCAGAGCCAGCACGAGTCAAACACAGCCCTGGCCAATCAGCATCTCTTTATGCATCTCTATGAGGAAAGTTCAGTGTCTCCATGAAGATTGTGGATACACTGAATGCACACTGTGCAGCACTGCCCCAGGAAGCACCTCTAGTAGTCATCTGAGGAGTAGCTTGTGGAGGTATCCCTAGGCTGTAATGTAAAAACTGCATTTTCTCTGGGAAAAAAATGTGTTTACTGCAAAAAGCCTGAAGGGAATGATTCTACTCACCAGAATATATGCAATAAGCTGTAGTTGTTATGGTGACTATAGTGTCCCTTTAAGGAAGAGTACAACAAATTCACCTGTCTAACAATCAAAAGGTTTACACAAAACAAACAAGGGATTCCTCTGTCCTTGTGATTTTTTGACAAAATGTTGCAATGGGAAGAGAATTTCCCCTGCAGCATCCTTCCATTGCAAGTGATGACTGCTGAAACCCCCTTTTCTTAACTAATGTGCAATAGGTAGATACCTATGGCCACAAGATCTTCCATAGAATCCCGTTTGTAACTCTTGCACATGTGCATCAGTACACAACTGATGAAGTTCCATGTAGGTGACACTTGCAAGTGCTGAAGAGACATGGGCCACATTGGAGCATCAGGTAAGTGGTTTTCTGTATCTACTTCCCTAGACAATACTATACAAGAAAACACATTACATTGGAGGTCTGCAAAACAAGTGACAATGCAATTTTAAGTCTGACTTGGAACCAAATATTTCTGATGGGACCCCTTCTTCTAGTTGTTGGGAAGTATAACAAATGCATATTAAGTAGCTATATTTTTCAGCATCTTGCTACTCTGGCAAAGTTGAAAAAAAGTTTTAATTTTAATGTGTGCTTCATTTGATGTAAAACCATTTTCAATGTATTTTTAATAATGTGTTATGGTAGCATGTTGGTTTCTATTTGATCAAATTGTCCTTGCCCTTTATACACATATAATCATAATCAGAGTTATGTGACGAGTATATTTCACTGTAAATCTTGCACGGTGAGCTGAAGCTTTAGTCTGCCAGAATGACTGGCAATATATTCTGAATTGCAATATCCATTTAAATGTAATAACTGCTCAATGTGCTTATTTTACATTAAAAAATAAAAGGGTACATCCCACTGATAAAATATTTTCATTGCATATATATTCATAGACCATTAGAAGTCTCCTCTTTGGAACATAAAAAGACTTTAACAGTTCCTATTAATAGCAGTTCAGTTACACCACAATTTTGGAAGAAATTCACAGAAAATGAATAAGCAGAAATTCCGTAACAGTTACGAGCTTTTAGAATTTCTCGCTAGTTGTGGATCAAGCCCTTTATAAAATTAATTTAAAAAAAACAAACCTATAATTCCAGAGCTAAAAAAATATAAATTATATAA